AATGCAGGTGGAATTCTCGAGTAAAATGTACAAACAATAACTTACGAAAGCCAGAAGTAATAAGGGAAAGAAAAGTCATTTAAGATTCTTTTCTTGTGGCTGAGCTATAGAAGTACTTGGCGTACACCTTTAATCCCAGCACTTGGGGGAGGCAGAGGCAGGTGGCTGTCTGTGAGTTCCAGGCCAGCCTGGTCTACATAGTTCTAGGACAGCTGGGGTCACAGGAAGACCCTGTCTCAACAAAAAAAAAAAAAAAAAAGAGCATAAGTGGTAAGATCTCCGACTTCCAAGTACACAAGAGCAAAAGGAAAAGGCAAGTGTGTGGGAATGCCTGTGTTCCTCCAGAGTGAAGTCGGCGTACATGTCAGCAGTGCAGAAAGAACTCTTCTCATGCATACTCAAAAATTATTCTTCAGAAATGAAGGCTAGCTATGTGTGATGGCACACACCTTTAATCCCAGCACTTGAGAGGCAGAGACAGGCAGATCTCTGTGAGATCAAGGCCAGCCTGGTCTGTATAGTGAGTGACCAGGCCAGCTGTGGCTACAGGGAGACCCTGTCTCAAAAAGACCAAAAAAAAGGGGGGCTCAGGTAAGACTTGCTTTACTTTTTATGGCATGGTCTCTGCAGAAGTAAAATTTGTTTGTTTTCCTGATTATGCCTGTTATATTTCTCATCCTTTTGATGGTTATACAGTGCTTATTTAAAGTTTTTGAGTTTGCTTCTTGGAGTCTCAGGTCTTCAGTTCTGTATTGAAAAATTGACTCTAGGTCATGTTGAAGCAGCATTGTGTGAAACTAAAAAGACTGCATTAAGCAGTGTAACTTTGTGGGAAGTTGTTTTTTTGTTTTTGGTCTTTTTGAGACAGGGTCTCCCTGTAGCCTCAGCTGGTCTGGAACGCACTATGTAGACCAGGCTGGCCTCGAAACTCACAAAGATCCACCTGCCTCTGCCTCCCAAGTGCTGGGATTAAAGGCGTAATTTTGTAATTTTTTTTACTTAGCAGAAGTGCCACGATAGTGACTGTTCCTTACTGAGAATGCTCCAGGGCAGTGGTGAATATCCTTGTCACCTCCTCATGCCCTTTTCTCTTCCATCAAGGACAGCCAAGCAGTCCCTTTCTTAGCCAAGGGCTGTCTAGTGAGATTGCTGAGGTCCTTGGAAGTTTTGGCCAGGTTCGTAACCAAACCATCACCTGAACTTTTCTTTGCTTGCTCTCATGTCAAAGCACACTTTCATACACAAACAAGGCTGGGTTCTTCACAGTGTTGGAGACTAGCTGAGGAAACAGATGAGTTGGTAGAGAAGCTAGGTGAACTGGGTTTCCATTCCAGCTCTGCCATCTAACTGTGAACATTGAACAAGTTTTTCTGCTTCTTGGAGGTCATACTCCCTCTTCTCAGGGATGCTGTGCTAAGTCTGGCTATATGGTATGATGTCCTGGGATGGTTGGGAAATGGGTGTACTGCTCCCATTTGATCCTGCTTGTCACCTTATCTGGAGAGCCTGGTGTGGCCCCTGGGGAGTATGAGTGGCTCTTAATTCTATGCTGGTCATTCCTGCTCTTAAGCAACCAGGATACCATTTTTGCCTGGAAGTGAAGAAGGGGCAGGCATGGCCACAGTGCTTTCTCATAAGGACATATTTTATGTGAGAATGCCCACTTCTAAGCTTCCACTTTCCCTTCTTCCAAAAGGTGGTTTCCTTGGGTCATAAAATTGTTCTTTAACTCGAGAAATCCTGTGGTACTTTTAGGGGGTGAACAGTATTCAAATTGATAAAAATAACTGTCGCTGTTTTTGGTGGAGAAGGGGCCAAGTGATAGCTTACAGAGTAGCTGTCACTTAAAGATCTACATACACACACACACACACATTTAGAATACAACAGTTCTTTTTAAAACAGCATGGTTCTTGTAGCAGGTAGGTCATTTTTCATGGTTAATAATCAGATGCTAACTAGTTTTACATTATCTTCATTCTTGGAATTTTGGCTTGGATAAAACAGGGAGGCACACATTGCTACTCTTGCCTTTTACTGTTGTGTGAATGCTAGGGAGAATGGGCTGTCATCTACTATTTGTGCATATGGATTTTGTCCTATTCATAAAGGACCATGTTGCCTGTGCTGAAGAAGTCTGAGAGTATATTTGCTGATGTGTCAAATGCCCAGCAGTTATAGAAGTGTTAGGACAGCTTACCTGTTGACTGCAACATGTGAGTAGTTTTGTACTCTAGCCTTGTCAGGAATCACCCACCCTGAAGATTCCAGAGCTATTAGGGAGCTGGCACACCACCCTACACTCCCTTTGTCTCTGTTCATCTTTGATTCTCCTGTGACCATTAATGTACATGTCTTGCCCAAAACAGACACCATTTCTAATTTCTATGGTGTTCACATCTCAACTTGATTTCTCAGATTCTCCCACAATCCTTACCAAAGCCCTGTCTTCTAACCACTTGCCTCAGAGGTGCCATTGCCAACAGCCTTCACCTTTGCAGCCCTGATCCTGTAGGAGTGGCTCTTCTGAAAGTCAGTAGAATGGAGTCAGTAGATTTCTGGAGTGAGACCTTGGGCAGTTTGTGTTCTGTCTCTGTATATGTAGTGTGCTCTCATGTTGATGTCCAGGTGTCCTTTTGGTCTTGGGTTCAACTTGTCTGCTGGAATGAACATAGTACTTTCCCATACACATCAAGTTGTCTCATGAAGGCCAGGCTGGTGGGCTCAAACTCACTGAGGTTTAACAGCAGTGCTAGGGACCAAACCCAGGGCTTTATTAAAGCATGCCAGGAAAGCACTCTACCAAGTGAGCTGTATCTCAGTTGAATTAAAGTCTATGGTAGTTTTAAAGTCTGATTTATACTGCTTTGTAATAACTCTGCAGACAGCCAAGCTTTCTTTGCTCCCTTGATGTCTATGCAATGTTTTCATTGTAGTCATTATTGTATTTGCAGCCATACTTCCTCTTTGAAGGGCATGCTAGAATACTTGCTGTTTTGTTGTTGAAAACCTCACTTTTCACCCAAAGGTGAGGCTCTATTCTGTGAATGTTTGGGGGCAAGGGCTTAGACCCGGTACATCCTCCTAGAGAGTCATACCTATGACTAAATCCCCATTCGGTGATGAGGTCACATGTGGTCTAGGTTGCCATATAACTTTGAGCTGACTGGTTTCCTGTCCAAGGCCTGTGTTGCTGAAGGCTGATAGCAGGCCTTTTCTGATTGTACCTTAACTGAAATGTTTGCTTGCAAAGCCACACTGCCACCAGACCAGCATCACAGCAAGTCCTAGAGTTACAGATCTGTCGCCTTGCTCTTGCATCCTTTGGCAGTCACATCCTGTTCATTGACAAGGGGGGAGGGGGCACCAGTACCACATTTGCTTGAGTAAACATATTACGCATCCAGCAACTGGCTCTTTGTTTCTCATCTTATAAAGGTTAGCAAAACTATGAAAGAAGGCAGCATTGCTTTGATTTGCTTTCTTCCCTGTCCTCCATGTGTAACTCCCTCCTCTGTTCACTTATTTTTCTCAGTCAGCTCAGCTGTGTTCTGGCAGCTAGCTGCTTCACCTTGCTGATATTCCCATTTGGATATTTAATTTGGGGCTTGAAGCATTTATTTTTCTGTGAATGTCTAGATAGATTTATCCAGTGCTTCACTTCCACAGTGAAGCAGTTACCTGTGGTCAGCTGTGTTCAAAAATATAAAGTGGAAAATTCTAGAAATAAGAAATGTAGGTTTTAAGTTCTACACTTAAAAAAAGATTTAACATGTGGCGGGGGTGAGTTAGGTGCCTGTGGGTATTGGATCTTCTGAAGCTGGAGTTAGAGGCAGTTGTGAGCTGGTTCTGGGAACTGAATGTAGGTCTTCTAGAAGCATGTGCTATTAACTGGTGAGCCATCTCTCCAGCCTTTAAATTCTGTACTTTTTGAATAGTGTTAGGAAATTGTATACCATCCCACTCTACCTTGGCCTCAACACAGATCACCCCTTTGTCAAGCATTCTCATGCTGGATGAGCCATTTGATCTGTAATCACTTTGGTGGCCACATCAGTTACCAGATCTGTCATATGGCAGGGTTATCCTTGGTCCCATATATCTACTGGAGCACTCTGAGCATAAAAGGGCTGCTGTATGTTGATGTAATGGTTAAGCATTCCTTTCTCCCTTCTGTTAGGGTCTGTGAATGGTCCCACATTGTGAAAGTGTTTGGCACTACTTAGAAGTTACACACAATAGTACTGAGAGCCAGTGTCAGTTGGAGATTGGTGCAGGCATAACGGTTGACAGTACAGTGAATGTATCACTTGTCTTGGGGTTTTCTACAGTGATTCCCAGTCTTCGTCCACTTGGGAGCTTGTATGAACCACAGTTACCCTTTTTTTTTTTTGTTTGTTTGTTTGTCTTTTTGAGACAGGGTCTCCTTGTAGCCCTAGCTGTCCTGGAACTCACTATGTAGACCAGGCTGGCCTTGAACTCACAGACATCTGCCTACCTCTGCCTCCCAAGTGCTGGGATCAAAGGCGTGTGCCACCACGCCCGGCCCACAGTTACCTTTTATGTATGTGTTGTCCATGCTAATCACAGAGCTGCAGGGGAGCAGGCTGAGTTGGAATAATTAGATTGAAGAATGAGTGTCACACTTCTAATTTCATTCTCTTTTCAAGATTACAGTGTCCATTTAATAAATGAGATTAACGTTCTGCAGCAGAAGTATTTGAAAGCTATCAGAGTATAATCTTGACAGCTCAAGAAGTATTCTCAGCACTCTACAACTTGGTTATGTTGGATAGTTGGGTCGTTGCATAGGACAGTGTGCATTTGTGTCATCACAAATGAATGTAATGCTTCCTTTGAAGAAGGGGAGGGTTCAGTGGACTCATGCATACTACACTGAAATGAGTAGTAGTATTATATAGAGTTGCCGGATAACCATAATAAAATTCTAAGAAAGTATTTATGAAGCATCTAATGATCTCTTGTGTTGAATGTTTTAGGAAACCTCGCATCAATTCTCAGCTGGTGGCACAGCAAGTGGCACAGCAGTATGCCACTCCACCGCCCCCAAAAAAGGAGAAGAAGGAGAAGGTAGAAAAGCAAGACAAAGAGAAACCTGAGAAAGACAAGGAAATTAGCCCTAGTGTTACCAAGAAAAACACCAACAAGAAAACAAAGTGAGTTTCTGCATAACTAGATACAGCATAATCTTTTGTACTTGAATCAGAGATTTTAAATGATGATTTTTTTTGTGTGTGTGTATGTGTGTCCATGCTTGTCCCCTTAGACCAAAGTCTGATATTCTGAAAGATCCTCCTAGCGAAGCTAACAGTATACAGTCTGCTAATGCTACAATAAAGACCAGCGAAACGAATCACACCTCAAGGTACTTTGAACTAGGGTGAAATACCTAGCTTGCTGTTGTGTTTTGATCACAATCAAAAGCTTGGGGTGGGTGCATGCTTAGGCTAAGAGAAGTGGAGCAGAAAGGTGGAGGTGAGGCTGCTGACCTATATCATTGGCTGGAGCAGAAGTGACTTGCCATCCCTGATGAAAAGTGTTGCAAGATGGCAACCATTTCTCTTATTGCACACCTGTCAGCAACTTAGCATCTGTGGTAGGCAGTTTAAGTCTGTGGATGCAATACTGGGAAGTGTTGTGTATTGATGATGGTACTTACCTCTTTGGCTTCCCCTCTGATGTTTCAGGCCCCGGCTGAAAAACGTGGATAGGAGCACAGCACAGCAGTTGGCAGTAACTGTGGGCAACGTCACCGTCATTATCACAGACTTTAAGGAAAAGACTCGCTCCTCTTCTACATCCTCCTCCACAGTGACCTCCAGTGCAGGGTCAGAACAGCAGAACCAGAGCAGCTCGGGGTCAGAGAGCACAGACAAGGGCTCCTCCCGCTCCTCCACGCCAAAGGGCGACATGTCAGCAGTAAATGATGAATCTTTCTGAAATTGCACATGGAATTGTGAAAACTATGAATCAGGGTATGAAATTCAAATCCTCCACCTGCCCATGCTGCTAGCGGCCTGGAGTCTTCTGTGGACATCGACCTCTTAGTGATGCTGCCAGGATAGTTCTGCTTGCCATGGGCATCTGGCTACCAAGGAATTTCGCACCCTGACAGTTACTCTTGACACTTTTATGTATTCCATTGTTTTATATGATTTTCCTAACAATCATTTATAATTGGATGTGCTCCTGAATCTACTTTTTATATAAAAACAAATCTGCTGTGCACAATTTTCCATGTACATTACAACTGGTTTTCTGTTTTTGTTTTGTTGAAGGGGGTTGGGAGGGGGGAGGGAACTTTTATTTATTGTGTTCACAAACTCCATCCTTTCAGTATATCCTCTTAAGTTTAGTTCTTTCTTCCAGTTATACTATGTACTATCAGTTTTGATATAACTATATATATAAATATAAAATTATATATAAAGGGTTATTTGAAACCAATCCATGGCAGCGCTGGTGCTTGACACACTGTGAAGTGAATACAACCTTGAACAGTTACACAGATCCGGGACAGTCCCTTCTATGAAAGTGCTGAAATTGAATGAAAATCAGTCTTACATGAAGTATGTTCCAACCCATGTGGGAACTTGACTCTCTCATCTGTCTTTAAGAGTACTGGACGTTATAAAAAATTTATATTTTTTAAACAATGTGATCTCAAATTTAAAGACTGCTCCAGATAGCCTGCATTCGCAGTGGGATAACTGACACATCACAAGTGGTTCAGTTGGAGGGCTTTGACCATTCAGAAGTAACGAAACTAGCTCCAGAATGCCAAGTATTCATGTAAATTACTGTTACATGTTAACATTACTGTTCTTAAAAAGCACTCATGAAAATACGGTGTTCTGTAACTTGAATTCCAGCCTTTTTCCAGACCTCTGTTCGTGTCTGAGGTAATCTAGAAGCTGTTTCTTAGTTTTAGGGTTGAGGTGGTAACACCACTCTGGGGAGCAATCCCTTGTCTTCACTTCCCCTGTGACATGGCAGTGGTAGTTTTGTGACCACAGTCTGTCTGCTTCATTTCCCCATATCTTTGCAACCCTAACCCACCCAATAAGTTGTAAGAATTTGTTTTTCTTTCCCTAAAGCCTGCAACGGTTCATTTTACTAAACAAAGGTTATCAATCAGATCCAGACCCAACCAGAAGATCTGGGTCTGGAGTCACCCCTTGTGTGGGAAAGCACTGCAGAGGTCCATGTCCAAGCTGAAGGGAAATTTCACTTCACAGCAGAGTAAACAGTCAGACCTTTGTCTTCTTTGACAGACAGCTTGGCTGAGCTCAAAATTTCTTCTCACTGTTTGCCATCTTGAGGGAAAAAATAGTCAAAGACCACTGATAGCAATTTCACCCTATCTCATCTAAACTTTGCTTGCTTTGCTTTTACTTAGATTCAGGGTTGCTCTTCCTTCTGACTTTTACTTTCTATCCCACTGAGTTTGGTACTTGAGAGTCACTTCAAGCATGAGAACTTGATGTTAACCTTCCTTTATTAATCATACTTTAAGGATTCACGGGAGGGCATGTAATGAAGCACCACATTTTGGTGTTTAAGAACTTGGTTTAACAATAGAAGTAATTTCTAGCAGTGGAGGCAACAAGAAAAAAAATTAATAGCTTGAATTGAGTAGCCAACAGGAAAGGTTCCTTTCACATTTACATTAAAACTATATAATCACTCAGCACACCATAATTTGAATTCTGTTCTCAAAGGTGTAGATGATAAAGCAGTGCCATTTGTCGCTGTGGTCCTGTTCTCAAATGCATGGACAATGTTTCCCTCTTTTTAAAATAATGCTTGCATCTGGGATGCAAGCTGTGCTTACCTTTTTAAATACCTTTTTGAAAGTATTTATTAATGAACCAAAGGAAATCAGGTGCTTTGTGTAAGCATCAGAATATATAATACATAGTAATTTGACTATGAATTTTAAATCCACATTTTAATATTAGTGGGGTATTGCAAAGACATTCCTTCTAAAGTTTTAATATTCCTTTTATTAAGGGTCTCAGGGAGGGTTTAATTAGTCAGCCATATTTATTTTCCAGAGGTGTAAGGAATTGCTAAGTTTTTTAATTAACTTTTTTAAAAAAAATTTTAAATGCCCCCAAACTCATGTGGGTTGCACTGCTCTTTGAACCAGTAAGTGTTGGTATGCACTTTGTTCAGAAACACTGTGTACTTCTGCAATGAGATCCATGTAAAGTGATTGGACCCCCTAGTCTAGTGGGAAAGCTGATTAGTCAGCTACTCAGGCTACTAATTCATTCATTGCCAGTGTCTTGGTTTTTCAGTTTTGCCTCCGTGATAAATTAAAGAATGGAGAGAGGTGAAGGAAGGGAAGGACTTCTTTAGTAAAGAACAAGCAGAGTTAAACTTGCCTTTGGTAGAAACTGCAGCTGACAGTGGTAGTATCCAAGCAATCAGATGTCCCGGGCCTGCTCTCCTGCCATCCGTGCTCCCGGGATGGAGATGCTAGGTGCTGCACACCCTACATTCCTCAGGCATGTATTCTGGAAATGGAATTCCTGTTAACTTCCCGCACTTAACAGTTTGTCCTACAATTGGTAGGCAGTAGGAAAAACACTAGCGTAGATTATAAAGATAAATACTCAAAAGAGGACCAGAAATACTTGGTATTCAGTGGCACAGAAAGCAGGTTAAAACAAAAGCACAGTGTTGACACTCGCAAGTTTTCCATTTGTGGTAGTACACGACCTTTCACATTTCGTGTGTGCTAACACACACGACTTGCATGACCAGCTCTGCCTGAGTCATGCAGTTGAAAAACTTAAAGACATCTTAACTCACAAAAATATTTTAATTAAGACCTTTCAGTTTCTATCTGGATACTTAAACACATTGGCAGAGGTGTCTGTGAGTTTAGTTCCACTAACTATAATGTTTCACCTGCCTTACCAAGACCATTCTCAGTCTACTTTTTTAAGCTACCATATCTTAAATTATTGAAAATTTATTAATTGCTGAATATATAATAACCTTTGCTTGTATGTAACCGAAAATGGTTTAAGAGCCAACATTTAGAGTTTGACAATGGAGCTGAACAGTTTTTAATGCGCAAGCAGTTCTGTTCTTGTGTATGACCTGTAACCTTAATTTACTGTGTAAAGATGGTTACATTATTTCCTTAGCTTTGTTTGTTGGAGACAAATAGAGAATGCTTGTTAAGTATGTCAAAACATAATCTTCCCTTGTGAATTTTTGTTAATGTATTATACGAGCTCTATTTTCCATTTGCCCAGAAAGACAGCTTGTATAACGCTTTTGGAAGTTCCTGCTCTCGTAACGTCTTTAGAGCTGACAGTCTGTTAGGTTTGTTTTCTCTTCATGCTAAAGTGTCGGTGGTTTTGTGAACTGGTCAGAAATTCACAGGTCTTAAATGTTTGGGGGAAATTTATATTGGACACTGCTCTTTGTCTAGCAAATAAAAGATGTTAATATATTCCTGTTCCTGGCATGTGCACGACTGTGTTATTAGAAGCCACTTTATCATTTTCCTGCTTTAAATAGAAATGTCTATTTATGAATTCTGCTTGTAGTTTTTTCACAAATAAAATAGTAAAATTTACATCAGAAATCGTTATTTTCGTGTCGTGTAGATTTCAGCTCTTAGAAAAACGGTTACTTTTCAACCTAGTTTTTCACTCATGGAGTGTTTCCAGTGGGAATAGAAAGCACATTTCCTTTTTCAAGAACTTAAGTTGCCACAAGCTGAAATTGTTTCAGGTGTCATACGTGCCTCACTTAATGGCAGAAGATGGGATTGAGCAAAAGAATGACCAAAACTTGGAAGAAAAGGCTGTCACTGCCCATTTGGGGTAGGTTTCAGTGACCTTAAAGAGATGTCTTTGAGTGTTTGAAACCCTCAGGAAACAGCCCTGGCTGTAGCCGTGACCTGAACAGAGGGAATATGTCTGGCCCAGAAGCCCCATCAGCAACATCGCTTCTTACCCCTGTCTGGTGGGTCTAACCTGTTGCCTGCACCACAGCCTCCAGCCTTCCTTCAGGATCCATCCTTTGGCGCTGCACTTGAGCTAGCCCTGATGGTAAGAGACTGGAAATCATCTGTCTTGATGAGAAGCTTACCAAATGGTCCCTGCCTACACTACCACAGTGTGGAGACCTGAGTGTTCTTCAGAAGCATGGGACAGGTTGAAGGGCATGAAGTGAATGGTACCACCATCTTGGATACAGAGAAGTTGCCTGCTCTTCGAGAAGGGCCCTTTGTGGGGCCATGGCCAGTGCCACTGGGAAGGTAAAGCCTCTACCCGTGTGAGATGTATAAACAGGGATGTTATTAAAAGAAGGTGATGCACAGCATGGGCTGATAGGGGAGAATTGCTTCTCAGCTAAATTCTTATACCAGCTGTCCAGATCTGCTGAGGACTGCTTGTCAGGTGTGACCCCAACAGGTTAGAGGCTCTTGGCGAAGGGGTCCTGCAGGGCCTGAAGGAAGTTCAAGGTGAGCAGCATCCAGCCAGCCAGTGGTGGAGCTGTATAGGGGAGGCCTGCAGAAGGCCTCACCCACACCTTGGCAGTTGTGAAGAGTTTCCTGAACCCTGAAGATTGCAGACATTCAGAGCTGCCCTTGAGATGATTGAAACCAGCCAAGTCCTGTTTGCTAATTGACAAAAGAAGTCAGGGCCCAATCGCTGTCCAGTGGAAGTGGACAGTGGTATTACATGAAAGGCTCCTGTAACTTTTTAGAAGGAACGTAGGATTTATCTAGAAATATAAACCACTGTGGGGGGCCTGAGTAGACCCTGGAGTGAAAGATTCACAGGTGGTGGTCTGCCTGGCATTCATTAGGCAGGGTTGAGTCTCCCTAAGGCCCCCAGGTCATGTTAGTCTCATCTACTCATGGGTGTTCCAGGAGAGCGTGAAGGAACAAAGGTGCAGGCAACTATAGACTGAAATCGGACCACTGCAGGTCCTTGTGTAGTTTTTATTTTTGGTGCTGGGGATTGAACACACAATCTATACATCTAGGCAGGCAGCCTACTACTGATCTATATCCCCAGCCCCTTTAAATTTTTTCATTTTTGAGCTGGTTTTGCTAGGTTTTCCAGGCAAGTTTTGAATTTTAAATCCTGCACTGGTCTCCAGAGTAACTGGGATTACCTGCACCACCAGATCCAGCTGTCCAGGTACCTTTGATCTGCAAGCTAAGTACCTGCAGGCTTCCTACCTCATGACCATATCAGACGTCACTAGTCTTTCACAGTTTCTGTTTTTAAGCTGAATCCAAAACCAGTCAACATAGCTGTTGATAGCCCATGCTCCCTTGAGGTAGAACATAATTGCCATTTCTGCCTTGGATGGAATCCACCCAAAACCGTTCAACTCTTCACTCATGGAAGGTGTCCGGGGAGGTCAGCAGAGAGACTTGGAAGAGTTCAAAACTGCCCAGCACCTCACTCTTCAAAGAGCCTGCCTTCCTGTTAGACATAACTAAATTGGAAGATTCCTAACGAAGCCAGGATTGAGCCCTGCACCTTGTGAACAGCCTCAAACGCCATATCCAAGAACCTGCTGTCCTGAGTGCTACCATGTAGACCAGACCTACCCAGTCTGCCATACCACCCAGGCCTGTCAGCCTCAGCCATAGATAACAGGCCAGATCACCAAATGGAGATGTTATTCCTGGAAGTGACAGGATACACTTTTGGAGTGGATGGAGCTGAGAGAGACTGTCACTTTCTGAGACTGGTTGACCTTGGGCAGGTCAGCCTCCCAGACACACTGTCCTTGCTTAGACAGAGAAGGTATATCTGTACCCCTGCCTGGGTCTCCCACCAAGAGTTGGGCTATTGACCTGGAAGTTGGCTGCTTCCCTGTTTTTAGTAACAGAAGAAAACCCTTTCTGAACTTGCATTCTGATGTTTCACTGGTAACCCTAGTGAGAATTTGTCTTGTGATTGGTTTATCATGCTTTTTAGTTTGTACTATTATTCCTGGCCCAAAGGCAGGAGTAGTTGGTTGAAGGCCACATGTAAATAAATGAAATCCAGAGGTGGTTTTGTATCTGCTCACTAGGTTCAGTGGCCACAGTGTTGCCCGCACCACTCTTCCTGTCTGCACACATCCTGTGTGGCTTTCATCATTAAAAGTTTAAGTTTTCAATGAGGCTCACTGCCCTGCTAATACTTCGTTTGATTGTCAATGAATGGAGAGGATTTTGTTTCATTATTGTAAATTTATTACTAGTATGTATTGAACAAAGCAATAGGTTTCAAAATGACATTTTGGGGCATTTTTTGAAATGACTAAGTTTTGGACAGTTTCTTGTATAAGTGTATTGTGGTATGCCCTCATTACCTTCTTTTATCTGCCCCCACATTCTGTTGACCCCTTCCTTCTGATTCCCTCCTGCTTCCATCTTGTGTGTCTCGTGCAGTGGTCACAACTGCTGTGTGTTCATGATTGCCATGTTGTGTCCAGAAGACAACATTTTATAGCACTCCTCTCTATCCTCCCGTGCTTACAGTCTTTCCATCCCCTCTTCCTCTGTGTCCCCTGGTCTTTGGGTGATACTGTAATGACATTTCTGTTCAAGCATATTATGAGCTTTGACCATGTTCACCCTCTCCTGTCCCCTCTTCCCTCCTTCTGCTAGTCCTCTTCCCAAATAGTTCCTCTGTCCTTCTGTTTTTATATCTATCATCTCTTAGGCTCCATGTATGAGAGCAAACATGCAGTATTTGTCTGGATCTGGCCTGTATGCTTAATATGTCTCTCAATTCCATCCATTTTCCTGACATAATTTCATTATTTGTTATTTAAAAAGTCTCAAGAAAAAGTAATCATCTAGAGTACATGCCATCACCGAACTGTGGAAACTTAACCCTTAGGAGTTGCCAGGGATCGAACCCAGGGCTTTGTTCTAGACAAGCACTCTACCAACTGAACTACATCCCCAGACCACTAATATGGTTTTATAGAACAGTAAACTCTTCAGATACCAAGATCTCTTAAGAATTCCTACAGGAAAGAGATCCATTTAACTTCACCCTGGTATTTTTAAGTCAAAAGCACCAATACAATATTGGGGAAGGCTTTCATGAACAGGGGACTTGCAGTGGAGAAGTACCAGGTGGAAACTTTGTTATGGTGAAACCACTGAGCCTCTGTGATTCCTGCTTCTTTCACTGATAGTGGACAGTTGTGAAGCTTTATGACCTGATGGAGTCCTGGCTCCTTGTCTGCTTGCCTTAGGTGTCAGCAAAGCCCTTGGCGGGGGGGAAGGGGGGGGAGCGGGGGATGCTGTCATCTCTGACACACTACAGCTTAAGGGAGTCATCCCCCACTCCAGAAACCTTTCTTCCTGGCAGCAGGTGTGACACTGGCCACAACCATCCACTTCAGCTCCTGCAAAAATCCCTGTTGACCTGTGACCTGACTTCTGATACTGTCTTGACAGAAAGCTGCAGGAAGGAGACTTCAGGCTTGGCAAGGCTGCAGAGCATTCTGCCAAAGCCAGAAGACTCCAAAGGGTTTGCCTTGTCCCCAGGGAAGGTGGCATACATGAGTCCAAAACCTGGTATCGTTAGTAGGACGATAGAGTGGGGGTGGCATGCAAATTCAATATATATTCCAGGAACCAAACCCAAGTCCTCAGAAAGTCCCTGTCCGTAGTCTCCAGTTGCTTGAGTTGGAAGGTTCAAGAATGCTTGCTGCTTTTGTACCCTCCTCTGTGTGTTGCCTAGTTGGGGAGGGGGAAATATATATTTGCTTGCATGTGATGCTGCGAAATGAAAAACTTCCTTTCTCCCCTCAATCATTGAATCCATAAAATAAACTGACAGTAGCCAGATTAACAGAAGGAAAGCCATGTTAACTCTATACACACAAACTCATCCCATCAGAGACTCATCCTATGCTATAAGAAACAAGCCTGGGGCTTTTGGAAGTTACTGGAAACTACTGGGAGAAGATGAGGTTAGGAACACAGAGTAAGGAAGGGGAGGCTTATTATGTGGATAAAGTCAGTCACGTAGTAGAAGTTATCCCTTAGGGCCAGGCGTGGTGGCATATGCCTGTAATCCCATCACTTGAGATTTGGAAGCAGGTGGATCAGGAGTTTAAGAACAGCCTTGGCTATATATTGAACTCTGGATCCGCCTGGGCTACATGAGACCCTCTCTCTAAAACAAAACAAAAAGTTCTTTGGAAAAAGAAGTGACAGTCCATAGTATCAACCCTGAGACCTTCCCTGGTGCTACAGTTAAGTCCTCTGACCTGGTAAGATTCCCAAGGGAGGGGACTTCTGACAGGCCAATCCTGTTTTACAGACTCTGTTAATAAGTGTGATGGTCACGATGTAGACCATTCCAGACTGGCCTTGATCTCATAGTGATCTGCCTGCCTTTGCTTCCTGAGTGCTGGAATCAAGGTGTGTGCCACCATACCCTGCTTTAACTAAAAGAAAAATCCATTTTTTACCCAAAAGAACTAAGGTTTGTTTTTAAAACTAATATCCACCTTCATGATCATAGTATGTGATATGCTAGAAATAGGAAGTTCCTCAACCTGACAGAGAGCATCTACCTGAAACCCACAGGTAACATC